ATGGTTGTGGTTTTTATAAGAGAATGTGTGAAACATCAGTCAGCAGACACTCATAAGCCAAGAGGAAAACTTGGCCCTGCAATTAAAAAATAGGCAAGTGAATGAATAATTCTGTGATTTAGGGTAAGTGTAAATATGTTTATGTTTGGTTTTCATTGATTCTTCTCTTTATTTTGCAATTTATTCACCCATTACTGTTCCCTGTCCTTTCAAAGGAGACTTCTATATACTTGCCTCAGGGTCATGATAGAATAAAAGAGGACAGTAAACATGGTGCAAGTCTTCAAATGAATTGAATGACAATGTTCAAATTGTGAAAGGTGACTCCTAGCACAATAGCATTATGCAAAAACAGGCTTTTGAGTTGAGGATAGGTGAAAGGAATATATCCTTAACATTGTTTTTCTGCAAAGCTTTAGTTTCTATAAATCAGAAGCAGCATAACAAAGAATAAAGAATACAGACTTTGAAATGTTTCGATATAGCTTCAACACCTTAACTAATTGTTCTTGGTAAAGTCTCTTGAGTCTCAGTTTCCTCAAATTAAGATAGCATATTAATATCCATATCAAGTAGTTGTTAGGGAATATACAATGTTGGGTACATAGTAAATTATGAAAGGATTGTTATTCATTTTTCTCCTTTTCATGGGACTATTCAAAAGTAAAAGATGTTAATTAAGAAAGTAGATAGGCCATGAAACATTTACTATCTGTATTTTGACTCTAAGAACTATTCTTGACACATTGGAAGCAAATTTGTAGGTTGAGACAAATAATGTCAAGAGTCTCTGGTATTTTGAATTTTTTTTCTTTTATTGATGCATTGTAGTTGTACATAGTAGTTGGGTTCATTTTGACATAACTATATATGCATGGAATTTAATTTCCTCCATTGATCCCTAATGCCCACCCTCTTTGCCCTCCTCCTTACCCATATTTCCATTCTACTTTACTGGTCTACTTTCCATTTATTTATTTATTTTAAATTGGTTATATATATATAACACACAAACACACATAAAGGTAGAATTCACTGTAATATATTTATGTGTGCACATAGAGTAATTTTGTCAAATTTATTCTGCACTTTTTTTTGTCCCTTCTACACTGTTGATATTCCTTCTGCCCTTGAAAAACTTTGAATTTGACCAAAAGTAGAAAGAGTTGGCTATGAATGGAAATACTTAATTGTAACAATTTTTTTTTGTACAACATTGTCCATCTTCCTCTACAAATGACAGGCTCAATCCAATCTAATTTTGAGATTTGCTAATTTATCATTCCATGCCATAAAAATAATTTTCATTTTCAGTAAACAGAATCTGAAAGACTTATTATTCTTAGTCCACTAAATGTAACTCTTTTGTTTTCAGATGATTAGGAGAATTGATAATAAGTGCACTCTTTATTCTGAAGTCTATTCAGGGTGGGAATGGTAACAAAGTTTTTGAACATTATCTATAGCCTATAATAAGTAAAAAGTATACTCAAAGCACTAAAAGATATATTTTGCCCTTAGAATGCTTTAAAGGCTAATTGAAAAGAGAAAATATTAGTAAATGGAATGATGAAATGAATGATAAGAATTTTGGCACAGTTGCATGTAATTTGGGAACTAGGAAGGAGAAGAAACTGGAAAAGTCAAAAATAGAAGCAGCAAGAAGAATTCTTGATAATTTTAAAATTTCAAGATAACTTTGATAAATTATATATGGATGATAAGGCCAAAACTGTACTTAAATGCAAGAATTGTCTATGTTGTATATATCCTAATCCTGTGTTTTTAAAAAAAACGTGTGTGTAACACAATATTACCTTTTTAACAAATGACTGCTTGTTTTCTTGATATTACGAAAACTTCCTTAGGAAGTTCTAGATAGTACAATGCAATTGTATTTGTATTTAAAAAGTATTTGTTAGATCTTATTATATGTTAGGCTCCACCCTAGTCTCATATTTATATTAATTCACTCATACTTAGTTAACAAGTATTCATTTTCAAGCTGGCAAAAGCAAATCAAATCATTTTTTTTTCAGCTCATGTTTAAAATGTACCATATTGTTATGGTTTAGTCAGACTTTAAATTTTAGCTTAAGATTTTCGTGAACCATTCAGCTACTCATCAAATTGATTATATAGGACTAAATTTTATATATGAGTTTAAGCTTTAAAACTAAGATTTAGCTTTGCTACTAGTTGTGATTATAGGGTTAAAATTTTTTACATTTTTATACCTCCACAAGAAAACTTTTAGCAAAGTATCTTGAGATTGTTTATTTACTAACCATGCCACATTCCCATTAGTTAACATCACTAGTATTTACAAAGTACCTGCTGGTTTTAAAAACATATAAATAGGAAATAGATTAATTTACAGAATACCATAAGAACCATACCAAATCTAAAATTAAAGCCCTTTGAAGATTTGTAGAATGTAATTGTACTGACAAATAGAAGCTATTTGGAACCAACCAGTCCCCATCTTCAGCTACCTTACCCTGCCAAGTGCCAGAGACACTTAAAATTGTATTTGTAGTTTAGACATTTTCAGATTGGTTTCTAAAGGGTCCTAAATTTCTAGGACCCTTTGAGATTGGAACACCCAGTCTCAAACTATTTCCCCGCTTTCAGTCAAAGCATCTCTGATTTTATTTGTGTGGGGTGGGGCAGGGAGGTGGGGAGTTCTAACTAATCTGTAACCAGTTTGGAAAAAATCACTGCTCAATGTGAAAGATCCTGAGCTTACTTCTCTACACAAATGCCTCCAAAGTCAAGGTTTTTATGATAATAGCCTCTGTGGAGAAGTAGAGACTGAGGGATACTGAGGCAATATATTTATTGTGGTCAGTGGCCCCCAATTTGTAGAAATTGTGCCTTCTTCCAGCTTCACAACTTGGAAGAACTTGGAGAGAAGTCAGAGGACAATTACAAAGACAGTTACAGAGATTCTGACCTCTTGAGAAACTAAAATAATTTCATTGAAAAAAAGAAGTCTGAGGCAATTAAATAATAGTCTTCCAGACAATAAGAATCATTACACTGAGGTTAATAATCAGATTTCCTTCATGTGCAAACATAGTTTAAAAAAGGGATGTATACTGAAGGGGAAGAAAAAAAAAACATTTTAATGAATAATGGCTGAATACTAACCAATTTGAAGACATTATTATACACAATCAGGAAGCCTAATGAACAAAGAGATCCACATGGAGACACAATTCAGTCAAATTGTTGAAACTCAAAGAATTTAGAAACAAAAGACAAGTTACCCTCTCATCACAAAGGCTCCACCATAAAATTAACAACGGATTGCTCTTCAGAAACCATAGATGCCAAAGGGTAGTAGGATGACATAAGTCCTGAAAGAAAAAGACACCAAAAATGACAAAACCATCTTTCAAGAATGAAGGACAAATTATTAGTAAAAGCTGAGGGAGCTCATCACCAGCAGTCCTACTCTACAAGAAATATCAAAGGGGGTTAGTTCTTCAGTCTGAGATGCAAAGACAGTAGGCAGTGAATTGAAGCCATAAGGAAAAATTAAAAACACTGGTAAAGGCAACTATATAGGTAAATGTAAAATCCAGTATTATTGTAATTTTGGTTTGGCTTGTAACTTAGCTCTTTACTGTATAATTTAGTAGGAAAATGTGTAAAATAATGATTCTAAGTTTGTAAATGGGAATACAATACACAAAGGTATATTCTGTGACAATAACTGTGTGAAAGGGGAAGGAAAGAGGGAAAGGGGACGTGTGCAGCTTTAGCACAAAGAATGAAGTATATAACAACAAGAAAAAACAGCAAATGCTGAGCCCAGTTAATCAAAGGAATGCATCATTCAGGGTTCTCTTTATGAAGGTTTTTTTGAAGGCAGTATGAATTCCTATCTATATTTTATGTATTAAACTACTACCTGAAGGAACAGGGATGAATTAAATGAACTTGGTCTTTTTAACCTTGTGAATCAGTGATTTATCTTTAAGTTTTATCATAAGATAAAGATTTCAAGCACTTATTTTGAATTATAGCCTCATAGCCTGATGCTGCCAGGAGAGGAGCTACTTTCTAATAATGTTAAGGAAGTTAGTAGAAAAGAAGAACATCTATTCCAGGGGTCATGTACTCAAATACCTACAGGGACCCACAGATGTTATAAAAGAGTGAAGCTAACAGCAGAATGATGTGGAGTTTGGGAAGTCTAGTGTATTAAAAAGTGAGTGACTGCCTAAAAGGGGCAATTACTGCAATCTTTGGCCAGTTGTTATTATGTCACAATGTGTCTAAATTGACAGATCTTTGGCTTTCTCAAAAAAAAAAAAACTGGAAATGTAGAATTTTACATGAAAAAAATGTCATATTGACCAAATACTCAGTTTTATTAAAGTAGTGTGAAAGCAGAACTATATGCATGAACATTCTGTGAGTTGGAAACTTCAGTTTATCCTCTAGTTCATTAGTTAACCACCACAGTAATTAACAAACAAAATAGAACCGATTCAATTCCAAAGGTTAGAAGAGTTAATCTACTTAACAATTATAAGGTTTAATTAAGGTTCCTTCAAACTCTCTGAATCTTCAATCTCTGTTTCCTTCCTATACTGGGTAACTTGCTCCCAATATTGGGTGACTTATTCACATAGGAGGGTGAGTACTTGAAGGAATTACTTACTTCCCTTAGCTATGTAATTTTATTTAGTAAAATCATCACATGCTCAGATCAAAAATCAATTCATCCTGTTGCTATACTAGAGAGGCTATTGATTCTATCAGATATTTAGAAATGCACATGTATGTGGCATAGACTTGTTCCTTTGGATCTTTGAACTAACATTTGTGTATAACACTGGCTGCATGAGGCATGCTCAATTTAAAAATTGACTTACACACTTTTACCATTTGGTGACATCTTTTATGTCTCTTATAAAATGTTTTCCAATAACCCTCCTCCACCTGGAGTAAGGACAGCTGGATTTCTGAAATCCCCTTACTTTCAGACAGGAGAATATGCCACAGATGAAGAAGAGGATGAGGTAGGGCCTGTTCTTCCTGGTGGTGACATGGCCATTGAAGTCTTTGAGCTGCCTGAGAATGAGGACATGTTTTCTCCATCAGACCTGGACACAAGCAAGCTCAGTCACAAGTTTAAAGAGGTAAGCCACTGATCTGCAAAATATTTATATGTGTCTATTTCATTAGTTAGTGTATGTTTTTGTTCAAATAAAATATTAAGAATAATCAATTTCCCAATGAAACTTTTTAATAGAAGATTATATTAAGTCTCAAATTTCAAAGTAAAATTTAAGTAGATCTCATTTCATTATCACTGATTTAAATGCTTGATATTTGTCATAGTGGCAGCTTGCAATGTATCTAGCCCATGATTTCAAACTAGAGTGTGCAAATTCATGATACATTCTAGCTGTGTGTTTTTTTTTTTTTTCAGTTGTACAGATTTTTCCCCCCAATGATGAGCTTTCCTCTATGGCAGTGTTTCTAAAAAGGCTCTTTTTTTCTTTCTTTTCCTAAAATAGAGTCCTAATAAGAATCAGATGGCATACCCAAAGGGTTTAATTGAAGAGTTTAATGAACAGACTTTGAACAGAGTTGATAGAACTAACAAGGGATGGTGACATGCATAGGGACTGGCAACAGCAGGAAGCTGTCACCATGTTTTGGCTTAATGGGTAAAGAGAAGGAAAGAGATTCTCTTTTTGAAAGAGGGCCATTGAACACCTGCAGCTTTTTAAGATGCAGCCACTACTAAAAACTGCATTCTCTGGGCAAGTGTGATATATACCCATTTCCCAATTCTGTTCTCTTCCTTGGTGGGGAGCATCCCCACACCCTCACACAGTCACCTCCAGCAGTGGGAACTTGGGTAATACAAAGTCTGCGGAAGTCAGCTTCTGAGGAAAGGAGCGGTCAGAGAAGGGCCAGGAAAAGATCCTGAGTGGGCATATGTGTATGTGATCACATAAACTCTTTGTTAAAATTAACTACTCAGAACCCCTGCAGGTAAAGTAGAAACTGTGATGAATAGGGCCTCAAGCAACTGATCTTTCATTGTTTGGGGGGAGCATCCTTCATTGTTGAAAATGAAGGTGCCATTATTTATCACCTCTTCCTTTCTTTTTTGTTTGTTTTTTCTTGTGATGCTGAGGGTTGAATTCAGGGCCTCATGCATGTTAGTAAATGCTTTACCACTGAACCATATTCCCAGCTCACCTCCTCATTTCTTATAAAGACCTTCTGTATTAACTGATATCTTCAAGTCAAAGAGCACTGGAGAAAAAGAAAAGTTCATAGGTAGTGGCTGAGTGAAGAATTATTATCTAGATGCATTTTTTTCTTATTTGTTCTAAGAATATAAGTTATCTAATGGAGTTTATAGAACATGTGTTCTTTAAGAAATCTCCCCTGAGCATCAATACAATTTTGACAAGTATTGGAGGCAGTGACATATGGTAGTGTGCACTGGTAAAAAAGCCTTTAATAGGGCTCTTTTATAATGTTGGGTGAGTCTGACCCTTAGTCACTAGTAGATAATGGAGTTGAAGAATGTTTCATATTCTTATATAGGAGCTACAGGGCCTAAAAATCAGAGATAGGATATGGAAAATTATACTCTGCATTTTCTGAATTGAGCCAAGGAATCGATGCTCCAAAAATATTGTATGCACCATTATATGGACAACTATCTCATCTAGACCAGATTAGAGGTTAGCAAATATAACATTTGCCAAATCTGGTTTATTGCCTGTTTTTGTTTTTGTATTTGTTTTTTCTTTTTTTGTAGATAAAGTTTCATTTGAACACAATCATGCCCATTTCTTTAATATTTGTTTGTGGCCAATTCCATGCTTCAACAGACAAGTTGAATTGTTGCAGACTCTGTGTCCTATAAGTCCTAAATTATTTGCTCTCTGCCCCTCAACAGAAAATTTTGATGACCTTGGTGTAGACAGCTTCATGATCAGGATCCATTCTGTACATTATGTCTGATTTATTTCTAGCCTGCTTAGCCGAACTTATAGTTTGCCATTAATTTTGGTGTATAAGAATTAGAGGTTTGTCTCAACCTTAAAAACAGGCAAATATTACATCATTTCATTTGTAATCCTTTTATTCTGTTTTGTTTTATATTTAGCTTAGTGCTGTTTTAATTTCTTCAGGAGATTGCTCTCAGAAACAATTGTGTTGCACTCTTTCATAACAATTCTATCTTGTAAGCTGCCACTATCACAGTCTTAAAAGTTTATTTATGTAATTCACAGACATCCAAATACTGTATATAGTAGTATTTTTCAGAGGATTATGCACAGAAAAGGGTCATGTTGTATTGGAGTCTTTGCAAAGTCTCATGTTACAGGGTTCTCTTAATTTTGTTTTAAGCAAAATTACCTGTTGTATTTCTTAGGCAAAGCTCATTAGGCTGACATATTCCCCATCAGTCCTGCTTTCGGCCTGTTACATATGTTCCTACTAGACCCTGAAGTGCTCTGTTTTTGCTCATGACTGTATCTTTACACAGTTCTTGGCATATAATTCATGGTTAAATATTTCATGAATGAATGGTATCAGGAATGTACGGAAGAATCATTGTACAATGTACCTAATTTAATTTTTCCAAGTAGTTGACAAGTTAGTCAGCACTTAAATGCTCATTTGCCTGTTCCCCTCTGGTCAAAAAGCTGCATTATTGTCTACAGAATTTGTGTCTATAATTTTGGATTGCTTTGTGCCTTCCTACTGTGTTCCATTTTTTTCTCTTTTCTTCGGTGTAACATTTTTAGATTACATATGAGCATTGATGGAATAAATCCGATACATCTAATTTTCTCTTTTAAAATTCCTTTACTTTTTTTAGCTTACTCAAGAAAATGTTTGGATCCCTTCTTTAATTCCCTAATAATGATTTTCTTTGCATTTTTATTGTAATTAGATTAAACTAGTAAGTTAATTTGTGAAGAACTAACACTTTATCATATTGAATCTTTTAATCTAAAGTTTATGGATTTTATCTATTTAAGTCTTTTTTTTTTTCTTGTTCCTTTCTTAAATTTTATGGCACCCTCTATTAGTTTCCTAAGTGTCCTGTGCTAAGTAACAGAAAACCTGACTACAGTATGTTAATCAAAAGCTGCTTAAAGATTGTTAGCCTCAATATAGATTAGTAAATTTTTCCTATTTTGCTAATTTCATAAATGACTTTTGTTTAAAAAAATGATTTATATAAGAGAAATTTCTATTCTCAAAAGTTTTTTATTACTCAAATATAAACCATCTGTGCATTTGTGGAGGAAGTTTTTAGATACTTTTTATGATAGCTATGACTCTGTTAAAGTTTTTAAATTTGGAGGTGCCAATTGTGATATTTTGCTTGGTTTTAAGAAATTTATATATTTAGATTTTTACATTTATGAACTTGTTTATATAAAATAATTTTGAAATATTATAACATGTGCATTCTAGTTACCCTTTTATAGGCTTTCTTTTCTTATTTGGGTAGTTTTGCTTCTTTCTTAGTTGTTTTCCAGAATTTTATCTGTCATGATTTGACATAACTAGTGGTTTCTTTTTAAATTAAAAAATAATTAATTTATTGTTTCCTTTCAATATCTTCATTTTTCTATCTTTCTTTTTGATGTTGTTGTTTTGATCAGTTGTAGCATCTTTCTTTCTTCCTTTCTTCCTTTCTTTCTTTCTCATTATTTTTTTGGTAATGGAGATTGAACCTAGGGGCACTACCACTGAGCCACATCCTCAGCCCATTTTTTATATTTTATTTAGACACAGGGTCTCACTGACTTGCTCAGAGCCTCGCTAAGTTGCTAAGGTTTTCTCTGAACTCTCAATCCTCCTGCCTCAGTCTCCCAAGCCACTGAGATGCACCACTGGCATGGCATTAATTTTTAATAGGTTGTACATTCTGACAAGTATATTTTTTCTGAATATTGCTTTCTCTACATGTCAGTTTTTTACATGTAGAATACCATTGTCATTTATGTCATGTCTTATTTCCTCTTTAACACAAGAATTATTCTGTGGGTTTTTTTTTCCCCCAGACATGTAGAACTTTATTTTGTTATGCTTTCTTATTGGCTCTTAACTTTCTTGCACACTATTCAGAAAATATATTTTATTTGTAATAGCTATCGTTTAGAATTTTTGAGACTTTTTATAACTTGATTCATAAACAATTTTAATATTCCTTGTGTACGCAAATGGCACACATTAGTGTCTGGGTGCAAAGTTTGTATGGTTTTCATATATAAAAATAAGATTAATAGTGCAAACACATACACACATATCTTTTATAATATGGGTTAGACTTTGCTTGATCTACGAATTCAGAAAAGCGTATATTAAAATCAGCAGCTACCATTGTTTATTTCTTTCTATAATTTTATTGGTTGTACTTTTATGTGTTTTGAATCTTTGTTGTTAGCTTGCATATATGTTCAGGATTATTACAGTTTCTTGATTTATTTTAATATCTCTCCGTCCCCTATGAAGCATTTTGCACCAACTTCTGTTTCATTTGGTAGGAGAATTCAACACTGGCTTTCTTTTGCATTATATTTGCTTCACAGCATCTGTATTTTCCATCTCTTTATTTTCATTCCTTCCATATCTTCTGGTTCAAATATGTTTCCTTTAGGCAACATGTTCCTCAATCCTACTTTTATTCTACTCTGGGAGTCTTTGTCAGTTAATTGGAGTGTAATTTATTTACATTTACTTTTATCATCTTAGTGTTAAGCTTATGCCTGTCTATTTCATATTTTCCACTTTCCAAGTTTTCTTCTGATTTTTAACTATTTCCCTTTGTATTAGATATGTCAAATTTTCATCTGTTGCTTCAAAGTTAATATTTTTATTTTATTACTCTGACTTATATTTACTTAGTCTTAAGTTATCTAGCAATATATAAAGCTGATCAAGTAACCATAGCATATCCTGCCTCTTCTCCTCTATTTTTTTTTGTATTTCAGGAATTTTCGTTAAGTATACTTATAGATGTGCCTTTTACAAAATGATTATTTCCAACTCACCTATGCTCCTTTTTATCCTACTATAATGGGATTGCAGTGATGTTCTGGTATTAATTCACTAATATCTCTGGCACTACTATTTTTCTCCCACCTGG